ATTAATAATAATTATTGAAGGTATTATTGTTATTAAAAGGTATGTACATCGTTTCTTATAATATAATTAATATAATACCGTATGATCGAAAAAAAATGGCGTCCAGTTGGCTGGGAAATGACGATCGATGACATTTCCCATATAAATTTACATATAAAATGACAGCGATCTTCATTTCCCAGCCAACTGGACGCCGTTTTTTCTCGATCATACGGTATGATTTCCCTTTGGTAGCAACCAAACAGCTAACAAAATGCCATGAATATTTTCACCTGAACAGAAGTAAACAAATACCAAAAGTAAGTATATAAAGTGGTTATTATTAATATTACTTTAATTAACGTTATTTTAGATAAATAAGAAGTCTTTACACGATGCATTTACCCTTCCATAACCTGAAGAATAATACCTCAAGATCGAGTCAAAGATATCATTTACAAAATATTACAGTTGGCCGAAAATACAACAATATGAAGTTAAATTATGATTTAGAGTTAACGCACATTTACTTTACTTGTAAATAGAAAATAAATAAATAATTAATATGTATTAAGAAATGTTGTTATATTAATATATTGTTATATTTTGTGTCATCTTCAAGGTTATAAATAAAAATAATAAAAATAATAAATCACCACATTCACCATTTTGTCAAGATGTATGATTAAAATAAATATAAGAAAATTAACTCCCCTTTAAAATATATAACCGTAACAATATTTTGAGCCAAATTTGGTTAAAACCGGTGTAGCGGTTTTTGAGTTATCGTGTTACAGACGGACAGACAGACAGACAGACACCGTGAAAATATTTTGTATTTAGGTCAGTTATGACCCAAATAACTAATTTTGAATGAAATTAAAAAAAACTTTTTTTATAATTAATACCTACCTGTTGGTATGGTCGGCTAAAGAGTAGACTAAAAAGAGGATAGACATTTGTTGTTGTGTTGTTTCTCACAATCCCGTAAACATTTCGGTCCACATGTCTTGAAATGGACGGCTGCTGCTATTTACATTTTCTACATCAATCAGTTTTCGTTTTTTATTTTTTTGATTCTCCATGGCTTCAAAAACACGCGATTGATCACATGGCTTCAAAAACAAATTTCCAAGATGCAACATTTTCCATAAACGCCTACTTGTGCGGTTTGAACTTTTGATGCAAAATCTGGCAATACCGCATCAGAAATGCATCAACCCAACTTTTATCTCTTTTTAATACATTTGATTTTCCATTAAGCTGCCTAGATTACTGTCTTACACGTTACAATCCAGACCACACTTCTAAAATGCAGTGGCGGCTTAACCATAAAGTCAAATGGTCAATGCCGCCCCCCAAAAGAAAAAGAAGAGAATTAGGAAAAACCTATTTAAATTATACTTTTTGTAAATAACTTTTTTTTATCCTAAGATATTCTAAACTATTCCGAAAAACCATCAATTTGTCCAATTTTCGCTTCAAAACGTTTTATTTTGCCCATTTTCTCTGCTGCCGGTCAAAATTTCATTTTGTCCTTCATTCCCGCTACGTTTTGCACGTATTAAACTCCAAATGCCGCGGCTCGTAACGCCAACAAGGTAAGGTATACTAAGTATAGAAAATATAACGGGTTAAGGTGCGATAGATATAGTTTACATTGGCCATTGACCGCGTCATTCATAAAAAGATTTTCAGTCGTTAGAAAAATTTCGCCGTTTGGGTGTTGCTTTGAATAAGAAGACTAAGGAAGGAGCATAATGCTATCCATGTATTCATGCATAGTGGGCGGAAGAGCCACCATAAAAGCTCTCTAGGGTGGGGATCCTTGACAGTTCTGTTTGACGATTCATTTGACACATTTGAATTTGATTTGAAATTTTGTGGATTTGTCAGTCTTTACGGAGCTTATTTTATGTTATTTATTATTTATTCTACTACTGATAGTTGTATAAAGGTAGTAAATCTAGATGGAAATTGTGGCAGCACTTAAATTAACAGTGACACTATCGCGATTTATCGAAAAAGACTCAGAAAATAGTTGGTTGTGTAGCGTGCGGTAGATCTCGGCAAAAATTGAGTGAAATAATGGAACAACTTTTCGCTAGTAAGTGACTATATAATATACATACGTGTAGTAAACCTAAGAGTAAACCGATCATTTATGAAATTCACTTAAATTAACTAAATTATATATTTTTCTTGCATTTTAGCTTTTATTTATTACTTGTCAAAGATTAGATGTCAAAGAATTTAGATACGTTAATTTGACTTACCTGCTTCAGTAGCGTATCGGATGTTTGTGTTAATAAATACTTATTATAACTTATCTATTTTTATTAGAATTATATATTTTTATCATTTTAATAACTACCAACATTTATTCACAACGTAAAATAAAACAACAAATTATTGAGCCTACCCCACGTCTACCCTACATCATAGTTTTACATTTTTTAAATAAAATTAGAACGACACTGATAAACCGGAATTTAAGTCGGCCATATTTGAGGCCCATCGCGGTGTACCTAAGATTTTTGATATGCTCCTTCCTTAGTCTTCTTATTCAAAGGGGTGTTGCATAAAAACTCAAATTATAAAACAACCTAGGTTTTTGTATCGTTTATAGCGTATAATGTCTGGTTTAGTCAATATAAAGAAATATTTAAATTTGTAATATCGAAAAAAATCCCATCCAGTTTGAGGTGTAGCGCGAAATTTGTGTAGGTAATAATTCATAATTTTCTGGTTATGGATAAATGATGAACTGTGGTTGACTGATTCTGGAATAGATATATTTTAAAATATATATGCATATAGCATGCTGATTTCTTCTTCTTTCTCAGCCTGGTTCCGGATATAGGCCTCTTCTAGGTTTTTCCATGCTTCGCGATCTCTAGCCAATCTTATCCATTCTCCTCCCGCCACTGTTCTGATGTCATCGATCCATCTCTTTTTTGGTCGGCCCACACTTCTTGTTGTTCCCCTAGGTCTCCATAGAATGACTTTTTGATGCCATCGGTCTGGATCCTGCCTTGCCACATGTCCGATCCATTGCCACTTCAGACTTGCCACTCTTTTAACCACATCTTTTCTTAGTTTTGTTTTTTGACGTATGTGGGTGTTCCGCATTTTTTCCCTCATGGTGATTCCTAACATGAGGGGTTCTACTGTTTTTCGGGTAATTGCCATAGTCTCTAAGCCGTACGTAAGCACAGGTAGGATGCAGCTGTCGTAAGCCTTTTTCTTTAGGTTGATGGTCGCATGGTGATTGATGGATACATGGTGATTAGTTTGTGAAATCGTTAAACCGGTTAAAAGAAAACAATTGCTTAAATTTTACTAATTCCATCTTTTAACTTACCAATTACCGGTAAATTAAAAAGTCGGTAAATTTGCAATTCCTACTGTGTGCAATGCAAGTGCATATAATATGATACAAGGACAGTTAAAAACAACCATTCTTGAACGTAGCTAAAAAGAAAATGGAGACGGGTCGTTGTGAATGGAGTTACAGTTGGTGATTGTGATATTTTCAGGAACAAGTAACAATAGAAGAACGGAATGAACCACAATCTGAACGTCCATCGTACCGATGTACATGTAAAAAGCCTAGTTATTTTTCAAGTATACGTTACAATAAGAAACTCTTATGAGAAATGGAATAGATGGAAAACAAAATATATAAATAATTAATAAATTATTATTTTTACTTTAAACACAAATTCCAAAAAAAGGTTGCAATTTTGTAAAAAATATAGAATGTATATTTATTTCTTCATACAAAAATATTATGTATAAATATAGCTAACGAAATTATATTGTTGTTTTCATGCCAATACGTAAAATTTAGCATAAAGGTGTAAAAAGGTAATTCAGTTTAACAAATTTTAAACAACTATGATAATTTATAATTTTATACAATAGATCCAGATAAAAAAAATTGTGTTAAAGTTTTTACAGTATTATTTACGATATTATGCAGTATACCTAATCTAATCGCAGAAATTAAGATGAGAAAAACAATAACAAATGAAATTTGGTAAAATACGGGCGGTATTTCTGTTTTTAAAAAAGTATAAATGGAACACCTTGTATATTATTGCATTTTTGGCTTACTTTTTGATTTCTTTACATAATCCTAAGATATGAGTAAATATGTTAGTATATACCGGGTGCGTCTCAAAAGTGGCTCACCCCCTCTAACTTTTTTATTTTTTCAGATAAAACGAGATTTGGTATGTTAGTACATGACATAAATTGGGATTGATTGACGTATTTTATTGTTTTCGGTCACTTCCGGTTTCACCGGAAATTACTACAACTATTGATTTTTAAATGGCACCCTCGGTATTTTTTTATTTTAGGTATTCGATAGAAAATGACACTCTGAATCGAATGACATACCTATGTCAATTTTTGACACAGTCACTCAAAAACAAATTCTATTTTAAATTTCAATCTAACGTGCCATGGCTGTGTTAAAAACATTAATTAATAATCAAGGAGCCTTGGAAAAATAGATTTGATCGTCTGACGTTTTTAGTGTCTTGTCCTGGCCGGTTAAAAGATGCCCTAATTGTATTTTGAATCATATCTCAATTTTTTCAAATGGAACGAGGGTGGCTCATTAGCATATTTGGAAAAAGCATTTTTTTAAAAGTATACCGCCGAACGACGGTAGGTATTTATTATATATTTAGCAACAACCGGCCGTACTTAAAAAAATACTACCGCATTGTTTGGCGGTATTCAGGTTAATAACTATGTAAAACCGTCTACCGGCGGTCTTTCTTTTTGCAATTCCCTATACCGCCGGCATGCGGCAGTAATTTAGCCAGTTTGAAAATATTTTCTAAAGATACCTCTTTTTTATTACTCTTCTCCCTGTTGTATATCCATACACAAATGCCATGCAATAAAACCTTATACGTTACAACGCCAAAAGCATTAAAAATGCGCCAACCTTCCCCTTAATACTACCCAACAACCATCGTCACCAACCCCCGAATATTTCTTACCTGGAGATCGCCCTGTGCCACGCCAATCTCGCCCTTATAGACGAATTCTATAATGGCCTTAAGGTCGGGGAAGCCTACGTCGGGGGGCATGATGATCGTGGGGTGATGGCAGGGGTTCTCTAGCAGCAACTTTCGGAAATACGTCGAACTGGCAGACAAAACTACCTGGAAAGTAGTGGAAATAAATCTGAAGGTTCAATTTTTAACCTTTCCTTAGGATTAGTCCTGTCCAAAGTTTATAGAATATACAGGGTGTTTCAAAACAAATGCGAAAAACTTCAGGGGGTCATTCCTTGTTCAAAATAAAGGGTAGTTTGCTTCATAAACGTTGGGTCAAAAGTCAACCATTAGGGAGATATTGCGGTACAAAGATGGCGGAAAAATAATGTTTTTATTTTTTATCTTGAAAACGAAAAGAGATAGGCTAATAAAATTTTATGGAAGCGTTACTGTTATGAAAACACACTTTCTGGTAATTTTTTCACTTTTTTAAAATGAGTGGAAGGGGTTGAAATAAACTACCCCTATCATTCTTGTTAACAAAATTTAAAGAAAAATCTTATCAAACACATGCAAAAAAATTAATTTGAATAGTTTAGTTTGTTTAGAAACTTTTTTATCTCTTGTATTTTTTTGATAAAACTCACCGATTTGAAATTAAAAAATAAAATGTAAAGCATTACATGCCAGGACAAAAAACATTTTCTGATAAAGAATCTAGTGGGCTGCTGTAATTTTTTTAGGAAAAAATCTAGTCGGCCGCTGTTACTTTTTAGGATGTTCCTAATATTATTTTATTTGACATTACTCTACTGCAATACGTTATTACCTAGATGATTATTATTATCGTTATTATCACTAGATTCTTAATCTAAAAATGTTTTTTGTCCTGACATGTAATGCTTTACATTTTCTTTTTTAATTTCCAATCGGTGAGTTTTATCAAGAAAACACAAGAGGTAAAAAAGTTTCTAAACAAACTATACTATCCAAATTAAAGCATTTGCATGTGTTTGATAAGATTTTTCTTTAAATTTCGTTAACAAGAATGATAGGGGTAGTTTATTTCAACCCCTTCCACTCATTTTAAAAAGTAAAAATTACCTGAAAGTGTGTTTTCATAACAGTAATGCTTCCATAAAATTTCATTAGTCTATCTCTTTTCGTTTTCAAGATAAAAAATAAAAACATTAATTTTCCGCCATCTTTGTACCGCGATATCTCCCTAATGGTTGACTTTTGACCCAACGTTTATCGAGCAAACTACCCTTTATTTTGAACAAGGAATCACCCCCTAAAGTTTTTCGCATTTGTTTTGAAACACCCTATATACAGAATATATATTCAGTAAATTTTGTCCTGTCTGTCATGGAACACCCGGTATTTTATTTTATTTTTCGATTCTTGGGTATAAGATATGGCATTTATTATAAGGGTTTAATATGTCTAAAAGCTTTGGTTTTTGAGAAATTTAAAGATATTTAAATATGCATGCTATAATAAAAAAGTTTCTAAACACCTTGTACATTACCTATCAGCGCAGAATATCTAGCTACGCAACTTTCAGAATTAATTGTACTCGCTTTCAAGCCAGAGAAATAAACTTTACTAAAAAATTTGATAGCTTCCTTAAATGTATACAGGGGTATCAAAAATTGCTGGTCTATTTTAAATATTTATTTTCAAATGCAACACTATGTATTTTTTTTTAATAAATCGAAGCAGTATTAAATGCTCTTTCAAACTATATATTAGGGTTTCCTATACCCATCTGGCTCAGAATTTGAATAAAAGCAATTTTTCAATAAAATTGTAATCAAGATGGCTGGTTTGGTTTGGTTTGACAGTTAGTAGCTAGTGACAGTTAGTTGGAAGTGAAGAAAATGAATTTGCCTTAATTTGTTCTGTTATAGAAAATCCAATATAGCCACAAGTCATCGTAATATAAATCAAAAAGAACTACTTCTATATTTTTCTTGATAAATCATAAATGCTTACTTATTAAACTATTGTAGGTAAATTAAATAAAACTGTTATAAATTTAAATAAAGTCCATAAACTAATCTCGATTTTGAAAATAGCTACTAACTGTCACTATCAAATTGCCATGGCGACATCAGCCATCTTGATTGCCATTTTATTGAAAAATCGCTTTTTATTCAAAATCTGAGGCAGATAAATACAGGAAACCCTAATATAGTTTACAAGAGGATTTAAATCTGCTTCGACTTATTTAAAAAAATATATAGTGTTGAAATATCGAAGTTTCGGGTGTTTTTCAAAAATGTGCATTTTTAACAAATCGCTGTAACTTTTTTGCTATGGAAAATTTTGTATTTTTATAAAAACATTTCCAAAGCACTTTTTTACGTAGAATTTAATGGTTTAAGTATAATTTTTTTAAAGTTAATAATTTAAGAGTTATCAACAGAAAATTTATTTTTTTTATATGGGACACCCTGATTTATTGAAAAGAATTTAAAATTACCTTTCCAATAATATAGTACACTTGATATTTTGCTCAATTCCTCTTCGAGATATAGAGTTTTATTTATAAAAATTCGTCCAATTTAAATAAGTAGGCTTTGAACGGCGCGGCGCCGGCTGTAATACAAAAAAATTCTAGCTGTGAGCATCAATTAAAACGAAAATAATATTTGCAATGAGAGATGTAAAATTTTATAACAATTTGAACTATATTTAGCCAACATCAACACATTTAAACTATATCTAATAATAATAAAAATTAATAGCAAACCAAGACATGAGATTTTGCTACTAGGTGTTCGACATATAGACCGTTTTCTGTTATGGACAGACGGGGCCGTTTTTGAACATTTCTCGCGGAATTCAGTAACTCAGTAGGGGTAAAAGATACCCTCTCATAACTGCTGAGTATTTCTAATTCTTGTCTAGATTATACGAGCAATTTAAATATAAGGACCTTTATTCTTCCGCAAAGATGTCCATAGGATTAAGGCCCCCACAGACGTCGTTCTTTTTCGGCAGGATTACTCGACGTGCAAAACTGTTCGGGTAATCACGAACTTGATGGCGCCCACATACTATTCAGTATTTTATTCAGGCTTTCTTCTGTATTGTCGTGATTATGAATACAACAGTGGCGTTAGCAACGGTTTTAGCTATAAAAGCTAAATATGCTAAGATAAAACGCTCTAAATGGGCAAAAAAGTGGCTTCTAAAAAGAAAACTCTCACATTAATTTGTTGGAGGAATTGCGATTAGAACCAGGTGATTGGTTTAATTATATTTACATGTTTACTTCATTGCCTCACACGTTATACATGTTTACTGCATTGTCTCAAATCAGCCATTTTATAATATACATAAATCACGTACAACACTGCCAATTTTTAGAAATATATATATCGTGATTACTGGTACGCATACCACACACGGGCCGACTTGCACGATCACGTTCAAAACCGACGAGAAAAATCAGATCAAAACAGATTATTTGGAACGCCGGCAATCACGACGGTTTTCAGCCACACACCGACCGGATTACCCGAACAGTTTTGCACGTCGAGTAATCCTGCCGAAAAAGAACGACGTCTGTGGAGGCCTTTAGATCCTTAGGCATTAAGTCCGCCGGCCTCGACGGCAGATCTTGGTTAGCTATTCAATTATTCTCGAAATTGGCTGCAAAAATTTGCTGACAACTTCAGCGTTCTGAGGCGGTGCCTCGTATTGCTGGAAAAATATGTTTTCGAGTTCCATTAGGGGCATATCATCAATAAGGGGTCCAAAGCCTACTAGTTAAAAGTGGCGAACTTTTAAAAATTCTGTATTTCGAAGGGGATTATACCAAAATATGGAGTGTGCTATATTTTTGGAAAGGTAATTTTAAGTTCTTTTCAGTTAATTAAAAATATACAGGGTGTCCCTAATAAATAATCAATTTTTCTGTTGATAACCCTTAAATTATTAATTTAAAAAAAAATTATACATAAACCATTAAATTCTACGTAAAATGGTGCTTTGGAAATGTTTCCATAGAAATACAAAATTTTCCATAGCAAAAAAGTTACAGCGATTTGTTAAAAATACACATTTTTAAAAAACACCCCGTAACTCCGAAACGGTAAGAGACTCGGTAACAGATATCGATGTGCAGTTTTCACCATCATGTTTTTGATCAAAATTGAGCTCCAGACACCGATATAAGTTTTCGTCTCCTATAGGGTGTTTCCCTTTAAAAGCGTCCAATTGGACCCACCAAGTACAGGGTGTTGACAAACGTTTTTAAAAAGTAACGTCAATATTTGGATGAAAATTTGTGTCTGGGAGTTTTTTGACAGGAGAACTGTGTTTTAACTGTTTTGAAGAGTAATAACTTTTCGTCTGTAACTGTATAAAACTAATGAGACTACTGAGTGAAAAAATATGCATTTCCGTGATTTTTTATGTAAAAAATGTTTCTTGGTACAAATCGCTACGAGCAACCGTTCTCAAGATATTTAGAATGGAAATAGTCAATACAATCATTATTGACAAAAAATAAACAAGTTGAGTAGATATTTATTTGACTGAAATAATAAACTTGGAAAATTGTTATTTTTTTTAATTAATCATAAATTTTTCTGCAAAAAATAATGATAAAACAGTTTCTGTTGAACTTTTGGCACAAAAACATTTCAAATTTATGATTTCAGTCTAATAACTATTTAGTCAACATGTTTAATTTATGTCAATGATGACAGGTATTGATAATTTCGATTCCAAATATCTCGAGAATTGGTACTCGTAGCGATTTTTACCAAGAGCCCTTTTTTACGTAAAAAATGTCTTAAATGTATATTTTTTTACTCAGTAGTTTTATACAGGTACTGACGAAAAGTTATTACTCTTTAAACCAGTTCAAAAATATGTAGGTAGTGCCCTCTACAAGTAGGAGTTATATTGACATCAAAATCAAATTTCTTAAATCAAAAAACTCCCAGACACCAATTTTCATCCGAATATTGAAGTTACTTTAGAAATTATTTGGAAAAAATCGAAATAAAAATGAAACTTCTACACTCTGTATCTCCAAAACTAAGCATTTTAGAACATACATTTATATAATTTTTTTTACTTATTTTAATCTGCCGAAGTTTCCGGAATACAGTTCGGACCACCCTGTATATTAAACTTTAAAGTACATCAAAATTTTAAGGTGCCCGTTTTTTTCCTGCCGGGTAAGTGTATTTAATTTTAGTGTATTTCTATTTATGCACATTATGTTTAGATGGTCTATTGTTATTTCGAAAGTTAGAATATGACAGATAAAACTCTGAAACTTTCATAATTTAAATCTATATTCAATAAAAAAAATCATGCATGAAAACCCTATAGAACGTGCTATATAATATGATGTTCATTATTCGCATTTGTACCCTATCGATTTTCTCTATACTATCCCCCACCATGCGGACTACCACCCTCATCAAACTCCCCTTCGCCACACAAACAAGTAATAACAAAATCCACTTTATTCTAAATGTATTAAAGATATATTTTATTATAGTGCGCATGTGGTAAAAGGGGAAAATCGATAGAGCCCGAGCGTCAGGCAGTACCCTGGATACGGGCTATAACGACTCTATGTTGAACACGACTGGTTGGCGACAAGGGTCACATGAAAAAAAAAATGGAGGCAGGGTTGATATTAGTCTGTCGGGGATGCGGCGATTTTTTTATCTGGGATGGATATATTTTGCTCAATTTTAATGAATACAATTAAATATTTTAAAATAATTTAGTTATTAATACTTATAATTTGTAGACAAAGGTAAAGTAAACAAACAAGTATACAAATTACATTGTCAGTCTTATTGTTTAAAATAAACATTTATAAATGTTTTAATGTTTACAATGTCAAAGATCAAACAAATAAAAATAAGATTCAAAAATATTTAGTAAGTTTATACTAAATATAGTAATAGCAAACATTAGACCAGTGTTTACCAGATCAAATTCGATTATCAAAATATAAGTCATTTACGGCGTAGAAAGCCTTGCCTAGTAAATAAGATTTCAATGTTTTGCGAAATGAAGAAAATGATGTTATGGATTTGATTTCAAATGGCAGGTGACTGTGCATTTTTTTCCAGTTGTATAATATTGAACTTTAAACTAACTCTGAGCGTGGGGTAGGTAGATAAAGATCTTGCTCCGCGTTCCTGAGTGGATAAGTGTGAGATGGCCTTTCTTGAGAAGCTGATACATGCTTACGTATTAGGCAAACGGATTCAAATATAAATAAGGAAAAAAAGATAGGCTTGAACCAAAGTGGTCATCGTTCTTGAAAAAAAATTAGTGGCAAGAGAATTTATTTTAACGCGAAAGAAAATATTTTGCCTGAAGAAAAACTCTCTCAACTCAAGAAAACTTGTTCTCTTGAAAAATTCGAAAATTTCTCTTGAATCTATTTTCATTCAACCAAGTGCAAGTTACTTTGTTTTAAGATAATAACAAAAATACGGTAGGAAGTACTTCATTCAAGAAACATGGCCATTTTTTCAATAGCGAAATACTCTTTTGATGAAAAATAATAACGACACGCAAAGACGATGACGATGGACGGCATATACAATCAGTCGGCGTGGCAGTCCGATCAGTCTCACCCTTGTCTCACCACAGTCTCACGTCGCATTTCATAGGTCGCACATCATAGTATGCACGGGTTTTGTTGCTTGGAATTTTCCACCTGGAATTTTGCATAATTTGCTTTTTAAACGCATATCGTATAACAAATTAGTGATCGTTATTAACATGCATTTGTCATTTTTTATGGACAAATTTTAGGATATATGATTCTTTAAAAGAGTTTCTGAAAAAATGGAAATTAGAGCATTTATTTGCTATATCTGAAGGTAAGAGACATTTACCTAATCCACGTGTATAGATAATGCATGCGTGACTATAGATAGAATAAGAATATAGGTATCGATTTTTTTATGCAAATAATTACAACAAATTTTAGAATTTCAAGTCGTCGTATTAAAAAAAAAACAAAATGTGACCAAAGCTTGTAATTTTAATAATTTGTTTGCTTGACTTTGATTAATCGTGATGTAACATTTTTTTGTAATTTGTAGAGTGATGAACCACCCCAAAACCAAGGAGTGAAGAAGCAGAAATAACTACCTACTATCGAGGAAAATAATATCACTTTACTTACTACAGACTATAGGAAAGCCTAAATTTATCAGAAAATAATATACCTCGTAATATGCCTGTATATGATAGATTATTAGATCAAAATAAATTTTAGTTGAGTCAATGGTATTGCTATTAGTTTAAGAAAAGTGTCTCTTTAATCAAGAAATGTCCCTTTTCAATCAAGAATTTTTGCATGAATCAAAGAGACTGTTGTTCTTGTAGCAAGAACTTCTTTGCATATTAATTTTGGGTCAAGAGTGAAATACTTTGGACAGATAGATTCTTCTATTCTCTAAAGTAATTTTTTAAAGCTTATGAAAAGATAGTTAATGCTTTGGGCAAAGAAACGTCGTTCTTGGCCCTATTGAAAAGCGCCAATCTTTTGGGTCGAAGTCATATTCATTTCGACTGAGAGATCCTTTTTTTCAGTGGAAGGAAGAGTTAATATTTTTAATTTTTTAAAAAAGTCCTGGCAATAAGTTCTGCTGTTTAGTCCCAGTGAAAATCGAACAGCTCTCTTCTGGAGCTTGAAAATGCGGTCAAATTGAGTCGCACAACACGTACCCCACTTATCAGTTATGCACCGTATGATGAAAAAAAAAACGGCGTAAAAGAAGGCTGGGAAATGACAATCGATGATAATTTTGGCGAGGTCATTCTCTACATGTCATTTCCTAAAAATAGACATAAAACTTGTCAAAAGTAAAAAATATAAAAAAAGATAGAACGTTTTCAGACACACAAATCAATTTCCAAAATGCAGGCAGTAAGCGCCATCAAGAAATAAGAAAGAGTACTGGCCAAGTAAATAACGTCTAGGGCTTGACCTGGCCAAAATTATCATCGATTGATATTCCCCAGCCGTTTTTGACGCCGTTTTCTTTTCAGTAAACCATTCTCTTATGAACGGAATGGAATTCAGGAATCAGGAGAAATTAAGGAATATAATTATTCCTGAAGAGTTAACTAATTATGTTTTAATCCTCGAATTTTCGCTTTTATTTACTATTTGTTAAAACTGATTAAGATTGTTAAGATCAAAAAATTAACTTAAATAGTTTAGACTGAAATCATAAATTGTAACAGAAACTGTTTTATCATCATTTTTTCGCAGAAAAGCTTATGACTAATTCAAAAAAATAAAAATTTCCTAAATCTATTATTTCAGTCAAGTAACTATCTACTAAACGTGTTTATTTTTTTGTCAATAATGACATGTATTGACTATTTTCTTTCTAAATATCTTGAGAACGGTTGCTCGTAGCGATTTTTACCAAGAGACATTTTTTACGTAAAAAATAATGGAAATGTATATTTTTTCACACAAAACAGTTAAAATACATGTAGGTGGCGCCCTCTACAAGTAGGAGTCATATTGACATGAAAATCAAATTTCTCATGTCAAAAAACTTCCAGACACCAATTTTCATCCAAATATTGACGTTACTTTAGAAATTATTTGGAAACAATCGAAATAAAAATGAAATTTCTACACCTTGCACCTTGTATTTCCGAAAATAAGCATTTTATGATATACATTTATATACGAACTTTTTTACTTATTTTTATCCGCAGAATATGCTGTTGAAGTTTCCGGAATACAGTTAGGACCACCCTGTATAACTATTCATAATTCATCAATTTTAATCATCTGCTGATGATGTTAACAATGTTAGCGAAAGTGTGAGGCCATGTCTTTATTTTCTACAGGTTACTTACGTTTGTGTATGTATTTATGTGGTTTTCATCAATTGGACAACAAATGGCTGTGGTAAAAATGTGTATTTTTCAGTAATACTATCATAGATTTCTACTTATATACTCTTCTATCATTCCATTTATTACCTTATGTGCCTTAAGAGATATATTACTGCAACTGCAAGCCAAAGTAACATCTAGGAAAGCCTCTTTTTCCAACAGTTGTTGAAACACAGATGTCATGTTGTTCTGATAATTACTCCATCTTAGACAGTACTGATCACTATCCATAGCTTGGAGATGATGTATTAGGCAGGACGTTTGTTTCCTAGTAACAAAAACATTTGAAATGTGAGAAAAAAATAATATTTTTTATTAAGACGCACGGTTGAAAAATGGAGTTCAAAAAAAATGAAGGAAATCACCTCCAGTTTAACTGGAAGTGAGCATATAAGCAAAGTACATTAAAGGTCACATTGTTTATTTTAAAGCAAAGAGCTATCATGCCGATATTGTGAAATATTTTCAGCAGAAAATTTCAAATGTAGCACAGAGGTCAATTCTAGACTAGTGCGGGACTACTGGGGGAGTGCGTGCTCTAAATACTTTTGGTGAGCGTAGCAACGTTACGTTAGTCTGGATACCAGGTAGCGAGAATCACAAGGGCAATGAAAAGACAGATGAAATGGCTAAGCAAAGCTCATCAATGCCATTCACAGTCCCAGAACCTTTCTGGGGCGTTGCAAAAGTAGTCACGAGAATGGCAACTAGGCAATGATAGGCCATTGCCAGAGAGCATGGTGGGTTCAGTCTCCAAGTTGCTAAACTTGGAGTGGAGAATATAACCTAAGGATCAGAAGGAGGACCACAATAGATCTGGAAAGGCCGCAGCGGATCAGGTTGATAATAATAATAATAATAAACAATGCTTTATTGTACAAAAAGACAAAACGGCTTCATCGACAAAACACTCACAAAACAAACAAAAGCACAAAAAAATACAAACAACAAAAATTACACAATACAAATAATACAATTCAAATAAATTTAAGTCATTAAAATAACAAAAAGAATATACATGGACAATTGCAGAGCAGTACGCAGTAAATAGATATAATTTTAGAGTTATAAAATATTAAATACTTGACTTTTGACCAGTGTGTGAGATGATCAAAATTTTAAAATTCAAAATTGTTCATAATTAAATATCAACAAAAAAGTCGTTTACTGTATACGAGTATAGGGCTCTCTCCAGTAAGTATGATTTTAGAGCTTTGCGAAATGCGGGAAAGAATGAAAGCGACTTGATATTCAAAGGCAGATGATTGTACATTTTTTTGGCATTGTACAGTATTGAACCTTTAGCTAGTTCTGAGCTCGGGGTTGACAGATAAAAATCGTGCTCCGCATTCCTAAGTGGATAGTTATGAGATGGCCTTTCGGGAATAGCAGATATGTGCTTGCGGATTAAGCAAACGGATTCAAAAATGAATAAAGAAGGAAGAGTCAGTATTTTGAAATCTTTAAAGAAATTCTGGCAGTGAGTTCTACTGTTCAGTCCCAATAAATATCGAACTGGCGTCGGAAAATACCATCAAATTTTGTTGCGCAGCAAGTACCCCAGAATGGTAATATACAGTAATATACGGTTGCCACCTTTTTGCAAAGTAAAAAAAGGACAATGGAATATGAAAAAGGACAGGGGTAAGTTGTTGATTGCGAAAATCAACTATATTGATCCTAAACAATCATTTTAGATTAAACAGGGAGTTCTAAATAATGTTGCCGATTCTAAACAATAGTATATTGTTTTTTGACGTTGTAAGTTTGACGACATTACAGGGGAGGCATAAAAGTAATTTTTACTCCGAATAGAACAGGCTATCTTTTTTCAAACGTTCACAAATAATTTCTTAAACAATTTCAAGCGTTGGAAATACTATAAAAAGATTTAAAAGGCATACCCTGCAGGTAATTATACTAGAGCTGGTATTTCTGGTCTTGGGTGCCGATTTTCGTGTGTACGAAGAGTACGATCAACACGCTTAGCAAAATAAGATGTACTGAATAAAGACAGAAGGCAAGTATTTTCCCAAGCGCATGGAGCCCATATACATATAACTATATATACTCAGTGTTCCCTATTTAACCCCGTGTGCTGTTTCCGTGCCGTAAGAAAAAGACAACATAACTCAGCTCCGTATTAATGCTGCATAAGTCTATTTCACCCGGATATCGATTGAACTGCGATTGCGCCAAACTCCGATTGATTGTTGTTTTAGTTCTGTTTGGATTACTTTTTATTTGTGCGCGTAAAAGAGTGATTTTGTTTAGTTTATTGTTTTCAACTATTTTTTGATATTTTTCCAACTCCATGATAATGTGTTATAAATAATAAAAATATAAATAAAATTGAAGGTTAGGTGAAATGTCAGTCAACCACTTCCCTCTAAAAACATCGACCAATGAAAACTTCTTCAGGTAAGGCATGCGCAGTTAAATGAATATCCGGGTGAAATAGACTTATGCAGAATTCCATATTTCTCTTTCAGTGTTTGGGCTTCACTTTTTGGAGATTAGGCTGAGTATATTTGTAAAAAGTAATACGTATATGATGGAGCCTAGCGTCAGATTAAGTGGTTACGTAATAAATACTTTGTATTTTTACTTTTTATTTTGCTCTCTCCGTCTTACTAGATTGTCATAGGGTGGTCATAGCTCCTATGCATGTAAATGCCGACCCAAGGTTTCGCTTGCCAGCAGGGTCTACCGAGAAATTATTGTTACACTCGTTGAATTTGACACTTTATGTCAGTTTAATAATATATTTTCGTACTTTTATGCCTAGGTGTTAAAATGACTTTTAAATTGAAATCACGTCGCAAAAATTAATATTTTTCAAACGTTTAAAAAAAACATTTATTTATAAGTCTTATAAAATATCTAATTAAATTTGGACGAAAGGAATATTGCTGGAAAATACGTAAATAAAAAGGACTTTCTCGGTCAAAATAAATCAAAAGGACAATTTGTTCTAAAAAATCACTGTCCTTTTCAAAAAAGGACAACCCTACTGTTTGACCAGCGGATCTGAAGCTACGGAAGGAATGCGAGAAAAAAAAATCGATATTGCCACGTTTATCTATAAAATTGCAAAATTGCCAGACATGAACTATAAATTTAATATATTTTTATTATATATAATGTGTTTAGCATATGTTCTGACGTATATTACTAAGGAATTTTAACGTAGTTCATATTGTTCGATATGTTTTATTTAATAACTTATTTCTTTCATTCTGTATAATCTGCTTATTATGAAAGTTGAAGATTTTTCAACGATATCATTGGCAAACCGGCATCGCCGCGCATGGTCGCCTATTCATCGAACATGATTGGCGAGAGTACGTCACAGGATTTGTTACCACGCGGTTGCCATGTCTTTTACGCCTTTCCTATTCGCTTGCTTTATGCCCAACTTCACGATCTCTTCTGAAAAGAGTAGGAATATTGAATACTATTGAAATATCCAGTGGCGGTGTCATTTTTTTGATCATTATTACTTTATTTCATTATTTTATACCGGTTATCCTAAACTTTATTCCTATATTTTTCGTATATTTGATAGTTAAGTTGTGTTTTATTGTTTTGTTATCTTGTTATAATGTTTTTCGTTCGTAGTTTTTAATTATTAATATCAAGTTTGATGGTATATTTGTGTTTTAAAATGAATAAATTTGTTAAGGGTAAGACACTACATAGTTAGACAAGAGAAATAATAGCTAATTTATATAAGTAAGTTAATAATAACGTGGATGAAATCTCATTTGGTTTATTTCCTTGTGTTCATAATAGGGTTTGCGATGAAGAAGCTACAGAGAGTTCGCTTTAGTTGCCGCTTAAACGTAAACTTGAGCGGATATTTTTTAATACCGGAGTTAGCGTATCGGCTATAAAAAAATTCACACAGAAGATAAAAAAAAGGCTGAAAACTAACCCCGATAAAATGATATCCAGCTCTGGAAAGAAACGACCACGTGAGACTGCTGTCGAAAAGCTCGACGACTTTTTCGAAGTGGTCAGGAATTTGATAAATAGATTTTATCTCGAATTCAAACTCGTTCCCACAATTAGAAAGCTTTTGCAAAAATTGCAGTTAGAATCGAATTTTCCTTTGCAGGGAAACGCTTAGGGGATTATTAAAATCAAATGAATTTTTTTGGCGTAAATGTCAAAATAACAGATAAATATTAATGGAGCGGCCCATTATATTGCAGAGAGAGATATAAATATATACGCGAAATTCGAAAATATAGCCAAGTATTATCTATTTAGATGAAACATATGGGTAGACAATGACCTATCCTTTAAAAACTGCTGGCGGAGCGATACCATATCTGGTGTAATACGCAATATTGGATCTACTGGTGAGTAAAATTATGTTTTGTTTGCGCCTCCAAAGTTAACTATTTTCAAGATTTTTTTGCTGGAAATAGTTATATCTAAAATTATGTAATATAAAAAAAATATAGTTAGTACAGATATATAAATAAATATACCTCAAGACTCAGTCTTGATCATCTGCTGATGGCAGACATGCGGTTAGCGAAACATGCGTCCAGTGTAAAATTAAAAGTGTTTTGGTGTATTGTACTGATTTAGTGTTTTATTTTGCTGTGTAACACCAAATGTTCCAACCCCCAGCTGTAATTATTTCTTCTATTATATTAACAACACAATAATAAAATGATTCAAAATATTTAAGGGAGCTTTTATAAAAGCTTTTAGTGTTTATCTGCTAACTCAATAGTAACGATTCAAACAGCATAAAGTTTTTTGAAGAAAAATATTAATCTGAGTATTATATTTATGATATACATTATTTTCATATAACACCGTACGCCCATGCCTATTTTAGAATGAAATTGGGCGTGTTTTGTTTACAACTGCATTCCCCTGCCGATACCCCGTAGCTACAGATCCGTTGGTCACACTTTAGGTGGCGACCCTAGGCTGATAGCCACCTCGAAGAATCTAATCTTATCTAAGACAGAAATTGACAGAAAAAATGCAAATTTTGCTAAAAATATTTTCCAATGTTGGTATGATAGCTTTACGCCTTCGTAATATACACAGTGCTACCACCGTACATAAAACTCGAGTTTTATGTACGGTGGTGCTACTGTGGTTATGAGTGTACACCACAAAATATAAATACGAATTTAGAAAATATCTATAAAGAATGCATTTTTTCCAAATGTTAAAAATAAAAATAATTTTCCTCTTGTAAAGATGATCCGGGGGATCGAGTTTTTGCATCGTTTTTGT